GTATTGTAAACCATAATGCCCAAAAGGAGAGAGAAAGAGAAAGAAGGAAAGTGCCTGCCACAGAGACAGGTTCAGGGGAAGAGAGGTTGTAGGGGGGAAACTAGGGATATTGGTGGTGGAAAATGTAGACTGGTGGAGGGATGGGTGTCGGAACATTATATGACTGAAACCCAACCATGAACAGCTTTGTAATGATGTATCTTACAGTGATTCAACTTTAAAAATAAATAAATTGGGGCTGGAGCAATAGCACAGCGGGTAGGTGGTTGCCTTGCACGCGGCCAACCAAGGTTCTATTCCCAGCATCCCATATGGTCCCCCAGCACTGCCAGGATTAATTCCTGAGTGCATGAGCCAGGAGTAACCCCTGTGCACCACCGGGTGTGACCCAAAAAGAAAATAAATAAATAAATAAATAAATAGCAGGAATGTGCTCATTCAAAGCTTCTTCCTGAGGAATCAGAGGATTTATTTCTCTCAAGAACATTCTGTTTATGCTTCTATTTTTTTTTTCATGCATTCACCTTCTGAAGTCCTCAGAGATTGGGGGAACCATACAGACCAATTAACCAACCAGGAGCTCTGTGACTTTATCCTCCAAGGTTTTAGGAAACACAAATAATTAGTCAGCACCTCTGGCCCTGTTGTTTCTCATCTTCCATACAATGATTCTGACTCTGCTCCTCCTTCCTCTGTGGTTATCTTCATCACAGAGTCCTTGCCAGTCCTGAGGAGGAGCCCTGAGCCTTCATTGTCCACCTGGCAGGAGAGGTGTGGGGAGAAGCCATCCTCCCTGGCCATGGTCACCCCAACATGCAACCCATCCCAGTAAGTGTTTTAGACTACCAGTAAGGGGTACTGTACGGAACATAGTTCCTCCTCCTCCAGACAGACAAAATGGGGGGCAGAAGAGACACAGCCAGAGATGCCAATATGCACCTTCAGGTTTTCATTTTTGGTTATGGGAGAGAGTGTGTAGAACTAATCCAAGGTCCCTGACTTGAGGTCTGTTTGGCACAACTCATGCAGTGCAGAGCAGCAGACGAAACTCTCAGATCCCTGATCCCCAATTACTTCAAAACTCATCATGAGAGGGCCTGGAGAGATAGCACAGCGCGTAAGGCGTTTGCCTTACACGTGGCCGACCTGGGTTCGATTCCCAGCATCCCATATGGTCCCCCGAGGACCGCCTAATAATTCCTAAGTGCAGAGCCAGGAGTAATCCCTGTGCATCGCTAGGTGTGACCCCAAAAAGCTTTAAAAAATTGATCATGAGAGTCACCCGGAGGGAGAGGAGAGAGACTAAGAACTGAACCATAAATATCCTGTCCTTGTTCTGGACAGTTCTGAGCAGGCATCATCAGCCTCTCGTGCTATTTCCTGGGCATGTTCTACCTTGTGCGTTATTGCTGTTTGATATCAGAGGAAAGGAGCACTGCATTTTTATGCCCGTTGCAACCAGAAGTGGGAAAGGGTTACAGCTAAGATTCTATCTGGTGGGGTTGGAGCGATAGCACAGTGGGCAGGGTGTTTGCCTTGCAGGCGGTGGACCCAGGTTCCATTCCCAGCATCCCATATAGTCCCCCGAGCACCACCAAGAGTAATGCCTAAGTGCAGAGCCAGGAGGAACCCCTGAGCATTGCCAGGTGTGAACCAAAAAGCCAAAAATAAAAAATAAATTTAAAAAATAGGATTCTATCTGGAGAGGCTGACTCTAGACTCAGAACAACATTCCTCCCTCGTCACCCCCTCAGACACCTCCCTCCTGACAAAGACCCTTCGCTCACCCTGTGCTCGCCCCTTGCAGGATTTCTGCACAAGCACAGTGGAGAAGGGTAGTTGACTTAAGAACAGACAGCTGATATGTCAGACAGCTGAGCAGGGATCAATATGGTGCTTCAGTGAGTATCTGCTCCTACTACTGTCCATCCCCCCAACTGTCCATGCCCCTATAACAACCCACTGACTCAATATCCAAAGGGGACAAAGGGCAATGGGGTCTCTTCATCCCCATCAGAAAACTGAAGACAGTTTGAAAAGTGTACTTCCGGGGCACCTGGGATTAATAGCTCTGAACCTCTGTTGAAAACACTCAGTAAATCCAGAAAAGATATGGTTTACTGCTTGGAGCTCTATGGTTTCTGCCAGCTTCATTTATTCTTAGTGTGATTTGGGGCATGTTTTAATTAGGTAATACTCTAACACGCTGGTATGTATCCACACCCAGCGATGCACCGGGGTTACTCCTGGCTCTGCACTCAGGAATTACTAGGCAGTGTTCGGGGGACCATCTGGGATGCTAAGAATCAAACCCAGGTTGGCCGCGTGCAAGGCAATAACTGGGCAAAAAAACTTTTTCATTTCTTTTTTTTTTTTGCTTTTGGGTCACACCTGGCAATGCACCAGGAATTACTCCTGGCTCTGCACTCAGGAATTACTGGCGGTGCTCAGGGGGCCATAAGGGATGCTAGGAATCGAACCCAGGTTGGCCGCATGCAAGGCAAATGCCCTACCCACTGGATTATTGCTCCAGCCCCAGGAATTTTTAATAAGAAGATGAGTTATTATATCATTGGCTTTCAATATCTAGTGATCTAAATTTTTGTTTCTCTCCCTGGTGACAGAACATTTTCCTTTTGTTGACACTCAAAGATTCCTTAGTATGTGAAGGAAAATGGCCCATTTATTTTATAGTTTCCCTGAGTCTCTGATTTTCTGGGATGGAAAAGAAACAATTATATCTTGGTTATTATGGATCCACCCTTTAGTTCCTAGAAAGAATATGCAGGCAAATGGCTCCTTTGTATCTGATTATTGATACCAATGAGCTTCCACCTTTCAAAGATGTCCCATAGGGTGAAGCACATGATGCAATAGTGCTTGTTAGTGTGTTCTGAGGGATTTTGCATAGGACCTGGTATTTTTCTCTCTAATGACATGGATGATATTATCAAAAACCATTGCAAATATTTTATACATATAAAAATAGAAATGAGACTGTGGATACAGCTCAGGAATGCATACCTTTTAAGAGTGAGACCAGGGGCTGGAGCATAGCACAGCAGGTAGGACTTTTGCCTTGCACGCAGCCAACCCAGGTTCGATTTCCAGCATCCCATATAGTCTCCTGACCACCACCAGGAGTAATTCCTGAGTGCAGATTCAGGAGTAACCCCTGAGCATCGCTGGGTGTGACCCAAAAAGCAAAAAAAAAAAAAAAGAGTGAGGCCATGGGTTTGATCCCCAGCAAAACACACACAGAGTAAACTACGTTGCATATGCTGAGAAATATTTCATATTATGCCATTCCAAGCTCCAGAGCCCTAGAGAACTAGAAATGATTTAATGTGTCTGGGTAGTGTATAAGCCATAAGAAATCATAAGCTTGTTTCAACTAAAATTTATTATTGAATATGCCATTCTCTAGACCATTCTCCTTTTATTTCTGGCTTAGTTCACTTAATAGGATGTCTTCCAGTGCCATCCAAGTTGCAGCTGGTGAAGGTAGTTGGCACAGTGGTAGGATTTAGTGCTAGAACATTACCTGTCTGAAACTCAGCTATCAATCATTTTGTAAATCACAGTTCTTTCAATGATTGTTAATTTTTTTTTAAAAAGGCAAATAAATAAGCAATGCTCCATCCTAGTAATAAACAAAATCATTTATAAACAATAACCACATTAAATTTCAAACCTCTAGAAACCATGTATGTTTCTCAAATACTACTTGGACACACATAAGCGTCCCCCCCCCCCGCAATTTCCGATAAGAAACACAAGCCAATACGATGAAAAAAACTGCCTATCAAAAACATGCAAGAAGGGAAAGATTAAAGACACAAACATTTATTTTCTTGTTCCTGAATCAGTTCTCCAACAGCTCAACTGTAGCTAACAACTTGCATCCTTTTTCCAAGTCAACTGTGGTCTTAGATAAATATATGGAAGTATAAAGGATGAGTCTTCCTCTGTTGGTTACTAAATTCACTTGTAGATTATGGAACTAGGATTATAGGGGCGGGTAGGGCACACCAAGCAGTGCTCAGGGCTCCGCACTCAGGGATCACCCCTGTTGAACTCAAGGGTGTCAGCCATGGAACTCATGTGCAAGGCAATTACCCTGCCATTGTACTCCAGACCCGAATCATAGTATCTTTTTTTAATGTCTTATTTATTTATTGCTTTTTGGGTCACACCCAGCGATGCTCAGGGATTGCTCCTGGCTCTTGCACTCAGGAATTACTTCTGTCAGTGCTTTGGGAATCATATGGGATGCTGGGGATCAAACCCGGACCTGCTGCATGCAACGCAAACGCCCTCCCCACTGTACTATCGCTCTGGCCCCAGTCATAGTCTTTACCATGGTGGGTCATAAGATTTTCTATAAGTTTACATTAGAAATTGAAATTAGACTTCAAACTTGAGGAAAATTTCATGTAGGTGCCCTACCAGCTGTGCTTTCGCTCCAGCCAAAAACAAACAAACAAAAAAGTTGTGTACAGAATGACAAAGAAGGGGGCCGGAGAGATAGTATACCGGGTCAGCCTTGCACATGGTCAACCCAGGTTTGATCCACAGCACCCCATCAGTTCCCCCCAGCACCACCAGGAATGCTTCCTGAGCACAGAGCCAGGACTAACTCCTGAGCATCATCAGGTGTGGCCCGAATTAAAAAAAAATAAAGGACAAAGAAGTCCATGAGGAAATAGTTCTAAGAGAATTTAATTTTCCATACTGGGAAATACTTCCCAGAGTGCGAGAATAGATAGCCTCACAAGGGAATTGCTAGAATCCCAAACATGCTGAATGACCATTAATATGTCCCTTTTTTTTCTATCTTGGGTCACACCTGGCAACGCTCAGGGGTTACTCCTGGCTCTGCACTCAGGAATTACTCCTAGCAGTGCTCAGGGGATCCTATGGGATGCTGGGGATCAAGCCCAGGTCAACCATGTGCAAGGCAAACTCCCTACCCACTGTGCTATCACCCCGGCCCCTACATGTCTCATTTTTGAGCCTTTCAATCCTCTTTTCCTCTCCTGAGGTGTCCAAGCAACGGAGGACCACAAAATCTAACCAACGTCTCCGTTTTCTTCCTCCTGGGGCTCTCCGATGATCCGGACATACAGCCCCTCCTGTTTGGGCTATTCCTCTCCATGTACCTGATCGCTGTCTCTGGCAATCTTGCACTCCTCTTGGCCGTCTGCTCAGAACCCCACCTCCACACCCCCATGTACTTCTTCCTCTGCAACCTGTCCTTGGCTGACATCTGTTTCGTCTCTACCACCGTCCCCAAGATGATTGTGAACCTCCAAATGCACAGCAGGGCCATCTCCTACATGGGGTGCCTGACCCAGATGTCCTTTCTGATCCTTTTTGGGTGTATGGATGGCATGCTCCTGACCGCCATGGCCTATGACCGGTTCGTGGCCATCTGTCACCCGCTGCACTACTCAGTTATCATGAGCCCCGGTCTCTGTGCCCTCTTAGTTCTGGTTTCTTTCTCGGTGAGTCTGTTGGATTCTCAACTGCACAACCTAATCGCGCTCCAACTTACCTGTTTCAAGGATGTGGAAATTTCAAGTTTCTTCTGCGACCCTTCTCACCTCCTTCACCTGGCCTGTTCCGTCACCTTCACAAATAACTTGGTCATGTACTTTGTTGGTGCCATCTTTGGCCTCATTCCAACTTCGGGGATCCTTTTCTCTTACTATAAAATCGTGTCCTCTATCCTGAGAGTCCCATCCTCTGAGGGAAGGTCCAAAGCCTTCTCCACCTGCGGCTCTCACCTGTCTGTAGTTTGCTTGTTCTATGGGACAGCCATTGGGGTGTACCTAGGGTCATCCTTGGAGTCATCTCCCAGGAAGGACATAGTAGCCTCCATAATGTACACGATGGTGGCTCCCATGATGAACCCCTTCATCTATAGCCTGAGGAACAGAGACATCAAGAGATCCCTCTGGAAGCTTCACAGTAGAGTAACACTTTGTGTCTGTCATCCTTTCTGACATGTGTGAGGAAGAATTGGATGCAGAGAGAGTGAAGGCAGTGCTCTCGGTCATGTTTTTTTTCTTTAGTTTCACCGATTTCATGCCTCTCCAAACATTACTTACTATGGATATTGCTTTATTTTTGTTTCTGTAGTTGCAAAGTTGTTCATGATTGGGTTTCAGTCATACAATGTTCCAACACCCCTCCCTCCACCCGTGGACATTTCCCATCAACAATGCCCCCAGTTTCCCTCCTCCCCCCTCAACTCTAGGGCAGGCACTCTCTTTCTCTGTCTCTCTTTGTCTTTCTGTCTCTCTCTGTCTCTCTCTCTCCCTCCCCCCTTTTGGGCATTATGGTTTGCAATACCGATACTGAAAGGTTATCATCTATATTTTTTTACTTACTTTCAACACTCAGTTCTTGTCCAGAGTGATCAACTATTTTTGCCATGCTGGTCTCTTCTTTATCCTAACTGCCCCCCCCTCTTCACACACTTCTAACCACTGACCAGTCCTTCTAACCACTGACCAGTCCTTCTGGTCCCTGTTTTTCCTAATCTTGGATATTAATTTCATACTTTGATTCCACTGTTCTTCCTGCATTAACATATGCCTCAGAGACCTGGGCCCTACGCAAACAGGATGAGAACGCTATTCAGGTCTCCCAAAGAAGAATAGAAAGAGCTATGCTTGGAATATCACGTTTCACTCAAATGAGAGAAAAAATCCGGAATTCCGACATCCGTCGACGATCAAGAATCAGGGATGCTGTCTCATTTGCCAAGGTGTCAAAAATCAGATGGGCTGGTCACGTAATGAGATTTAAAGACGACCGCTGGACTAGAGCTATTACTCACTGGATTCCACGGGATGTCAAAAGACCACGTGGCCGCCCACCTACCAGATGGTCAGACTTCTTCGTGAAGATCATGAACGATCGGTTTGAGGCTCTTCATGATCCCAGAGCGAACAGATGCCATTGGGCTACACTAGCACGCGACAGGGACAAATGGAGACATTACTGGTGCCCGCTCGAGCAAATCGACGACTAACGGGAAGTTAAGTGATAAGTGATTAATTTCATACTATTATATATATTTATATCCCACAAATGAATGCAGTCATTATATATCTGTCCTTCTCATTCTGACTCATTTCACTCAGCATGATACTCTCCATGTCCATCTATTTTTAGAAGCAAATTTCATGACTGTGTTCTTTCTAGTGGCTGTGTAGTATTCCACTGTATAGATGTACCATAGTTTCTTTATCCAGACTCTCGTTCATTATTGGTAGGAATGCCAACTGGTCTAGCCTTTTGGAAAAAAAATATGGACATTCCCCAAAAAATGAGAAATTGAGCTGCCATGTGACCCAGCAATACCACTTTTGGAAATATGTCCTGGGGGCCCAAAAAGACACAGCAGAAACAGCATCTGCACTTATGTTCACTGCAGCACTATTCACATTAGCCAGAATCTGGAAACAACCCAAGTGCCCAAGAACAGATGGCTGGACATTGCTTTAAGTTTTTGTTGGGTGGGATGGCCTGGGATCCTTCATATGAATTCATAGAGTTATCCTCAGTGACATAATTATATTTTCTATCTTCTTAAAGGGGACCTTCTTTTCTAAGGTACCTGTAGTCTGCAATACACAGGGTTTTTTGTTTTGTTTTTTGTTTTGCTTTTGCTTTTGCTTTTGTCTTCAGTTTTTGCACCAGATCTGCTAATTCAGGGCATTTGGGAGATTCCATTCCATGATTTACAACCATGGATTTTAGTAGAATTCCCTAGGGAATTTTTACAAATACTGCTGAATAGGACCTATCATTGGAAATTCTGTCTTAGTTTGGCTGAGATGTGTTAACTTTTGTTCCCCAATTTGAAAACAAGGAATTTTTTTCCTTGGATTTTGTCTGTTTCCTTGGTTTGATTCTCTATATCCCTTATATGAGTGTTATCATACAGTATTTTCATTTCTAATTATTTATTTGGAACACCCCCTCCAGTTCCACCATGTTGCTTCAAGGAACTTTAAATTACATTTTTTGTTCTTTTGTCCGCAAAATGTCTATAAAATATCTGTGGATACAATGTGGCCACATTTAAAATTATTAAAACAGTACATGATCTATAACATATATTATCATTTTAATCATTTTAAATTAGACAAGAATATTGAACCTTACTTTCAACAATACCAGAATTACTTTCAGAACTTTTTTAACAACCTGAAGATGCTCTATATCTATTCAACAGTAATACCCTATTTCTAAGTCATTTCAGATCCTAGAAACTCATATCTTTATAAATGTGCATGTTTTTTGTGTCTTTTACAAGTGGAATCTTACATGTTACAATGATTATTCTTCTGTATTCGTCATAGTTTAGCATCATATTAACGAAGTTCATTCAACAATGCTGCAAAATATTTCAGAATTTCCTTCCCTTTTAAGGCTGAATACTTTCCATCCAGTATTCTATTTAAACCATCCATTGTTCATGGACTTAGGGTCCATTTCTGTGTTTGGCTTTCCTGATTAATGTTATTATGAACACTATTGTGAGAAGGTGCTTCAATTTTAGATGCATCCTAAGGATGGTGGGTGTGATGAGACAGACATCCGCAAAGAAGAGAAAGGAGTGGAAGTCTGGGAGATGCTAAGAAAACTACAGAGAAGGAGAAAGACAAACACCAGCTGATCTTGTTCCTAGGTGATCTATAGAAAAAAAGAGAGTCTCCTTGTTTTGGTGGGATAATTCCAATGAAAACAAATCCTTGGACTCTGACAACATAACTGTATTTACCTAAGAAGGGAGTGGAATAGAAGCATGATCCAAGAGGGCTATCAGAACTTCGGCAGTAGTCCTTGTACCCCTAAAATAGAGAATCATTTCCACTCTTGTATATAGTAATGAATTTTTTTAAAAACAAATTTATTTACACGTCAGGATTTGTAATCCCATATTAATAATAAAAAAACTGTGTTAGTAGTATTTCTCTTAAAGAGATGCTTCCTGACCCCATGCCAGATTGAGTCATCCGGGGCATCCCAGTGGGGAGCAGTGAGCCCACCACATACTCAAAAAGAGCCCCAGCAGCCAAAAATCTCCACATTCTACAAACACCACCATGCTCACAGCAGGACTTCACTGCTCAGGATGAACCTCATCCAGAAACTGATCTGTTGAAAAACTCAAGTATGCAAATTTTGTGACTGAAATCTCCAGGCTCTCATAGAGTCATAGATGGATTATCTCCCCCATCTCCCTGTTGTTCCAGAAGCCTGGTAGTGTATCTCACAGTGACTCAAAAGACAATAAAATTTCTTTTAAAAATCTGCCAGGCTTTGGGGCCGGGTAAGGCAGTAAGTTCAGTGGGTAAGGCATTTGCTTTGTATGCCATCAACCTGGGTTTTATCCCCAGCGTCCCATATAGTCCCCTGAGCACTGCCAGGAGTGATTTCTGATTGCAAGCCAGGAGTAACCCCTGAGTATCACTGGGTATGGCCCAAAAACAAATAATTTTTTTTAAATGCTGCAAGGCTTTATAGCAGCATGCTGGGGGTAGAAGATAAACCACATCAGTGGAAATATCTACCTATGGGCAACTTGTTCTTTAGGGAAATTTTCTGAGAGCAATGCACTATCATGTGAATTAATGTGGGGACTATCCCCACAGAATCCTGTTGTGCTTAGTTAGAGATCCAAGTCTTGACACAGGTGAAGCATGCATGCAGAAAAAACTTGATTAGTCCCTCCATGTACTCCAGATTCTATAATCCTGGCATGTTATAGACTTATTTTCTGACTCTAGCCGGAGTTTTTTTAGCAACAAAACATGAAGAATCCATGCTACTTTTTATTATTATTTTAGTCATTTTGATTTCCAACCCTGTCAGTAAGGGTTTCCATACATTCAAAATCCAAACCATTTTCCCCACTAATGTGTTCATTTCCTCTCACCATTGTATTAGGTTCCTTGGCCTCCCCCAAAAATTTCCTCCTCTCTCTGTCTCCCAGCTTGGAACCTTCAGTCCTATAGATCAATTCACAGATTCTGTTGCTTTGGGCCATCTGTTATTATTCTCTTCTCAATCTGGGTGAAGTCAGCCAGAAAAAGAGGAATGGATACAGAATAATCCCACTCATATGTGGGATATGAAAAGCATAGTAAGGAAACTGATAAATTTTTTTTATTTTTTTGGATCACACCCGGTGATGCACAGGGGTTACTCCTGGGTCTGCACTCAGGAATCACTCTTGGTGGTGCTCGGGGGACCATATGGGGTGCTGGGAATCGAATCTGTATTGGCCGAGTGCAAGGGAAACGCCCTACTGCCTCTGCTATTGCTCCAGCCCCAGGAAACTGATAATATTTTTAAATAACATTTTAACCTACCTTTTGAATATCACTGAGTGCCAGCCAGTAGACACTTTTAGGTAAATATTGGCCAGTACTCAGCTTTATTTAACACAAGAATCCACCACAAGTAGTAGATCAATAAGAGCATTTTATTCTAATAATAAAGAATAAATACACAAGCAAAAGCAAATAATTTAAATTGTGATATTATTTTACATAAGGAAGACCTCCTAACATATGGAAATAAGGAGGCCAGAGTGATAGTACAGTGAGCAGGGTTTTTGCCTTGCATGCAGCTGACCCAGGTTCAATCCCCAACATCCCATTTGCTCCCTCATGCACCACAAGAATTACTGAGTGCAGAACCAGAAATAACCCCTGAGAATCACTGGTGTGGTCCAAAAATAAAATAAGTTAAATATGGAAATAAGAAGTTCATCAGAGGAGGAGCAACAGTACAGCAAGTAGGGCACTTGCCTTGCATATGTACAACCTGGGTTCAATCCCCAGCATCCCACAGGGTCTCCTGACCGCCATCAGGAGTACTGATAGCCTGAAGTAACCTCTGAACATCGCTGGGTGTGGCCCCAAAACCAAAAAAAAAGTTCATCCCAGAGATAAAATCTCCATTGAGAAAACATTGAGAAAATAGAGGAGGTTTTAGACTCTGGTTGTAGAGATCTATTTTCCCATTTTACATAATCAACACAATTACTTGAAGATATTCAAGTGAAGTTTAAATGAACTGAAGTCAAAGAGAAATTCTGGAATTGCTTATGGTTTTTGAAACTGGACCTCAGAAGTCAAGTGTCCAGATGAATTTTCCCAGGGAAGAAGGAAGCTCGCACCATCTAATTACATTCATTTCTCCTCCTTTCCTCCTCTGCTCCAATTAGGGGGTCCTTGGAGACTGAGATAACAAGAAACAATACTTTCTCACTATTATCCCTCACGGTCATGAAGGAGTAATAAAGAGTCAGCCCCACAGTCTGGAGGGTATTTCTCAGTGAGGTTCCTACCTGTCTACCCTTTCACCACCATCACCTGGGCGGGTTCATGCCTGACTTCACCTTCCTCCCCGTCCCGAGCACGGAGTCTCAGCTCTCATCACTCACAAGGGAGGAGAGTGTTAGGGGCCCCAGCTCCAAGCATGAGCCAGCAGAGACCCAGCAGAGACCAGTGAGTGATGAGGGGCAGGGATGGGGAAGTTGGTCTTGACTCTTATCTCTTCACCCGGACAAGTGGGACATGGAGACAAATATGGGGGATGCCATATGCTTCGTTTCCATACAGACACACAGGGAACGTGTGGGTGCTTTTTCTCTTGGGGATTTCAGATCTCTCGTGAAGAATTCTAACTTTCCCATTAGTACTTTTGACTTTCATGGATGAGCCAGAAATCAATCTCCCAAATTCTTGCTCTAGCATTCCAAATATTCATGAATCTGTTTATACTCACATGAGGAGGAGGAGGAGGAAAGCAATTTGAAGATCATAAATGATTGTTGACAGTTCTCTTGTGACCCTCTTTGATAGATCTGCTGATTGATCTCCTCTATGTGTATTATTACCTATGACATGTGTAGACAGCATTATGATTTCATACCTTAAATTTGGAAAAGAGAACACCATATTATTTTTGTCCAATAACATTGATGTGTAAGATCATGCTTCTGGGTTTAGCAGTACAATGTGATAACATGTCACCATTTTAAAATCTTTTTTTTTTTTTGCTTTTTGGGTCACACCCAGCGATGCACAGGGGTTACTCCTGGCTCGTGCACTCAGAAATTACTCCTGGAGGTGCTTGGGGGACTATTAGGGATGCTGGGAATCGAACCAAGGTCTGTTGTGTGCAAGGCAAATGCCCTATCCGCTGTGCTATCTCTCCAGTCCCTGATCCTATATTTTAAAAAAATAGGTGAAGTTAGGTTTGGACCTGAGCAGGAGCCCTGGAGTTGAGCTCTGGAAACTCAACCTTCCCTTTCTCTCCCTGGTTCCCTCCAGGTTTACTGCCTGCAGGAAAACCATTTACTGGATCCGCAGCACTTTCATGGTGTTGTGTATAAATGGGCCACTAAAAGGAAATGTTCAGGGCCTGGAGTGATAGCACAGCGGGTAGGGCATTTGTCTTGCAAGCGGCCAACCCGGGTTTGATTCCCAGCATCCCATATGGTCCCCCGAGCACTGCCAGGAGTAATTCCTGAGTACATGAGCCAGGAGTAACCCCTGAGCATTGCCAGGAAAGCCAAAAAAAAATTCCTGAGTGCGTGAGCCAGGAGTAATCCCTGTGCATCGCCAGGAGTGACCCCAAAAAGAAACCAAAAAAATATGAAATGTTAATTTAAAAACGCTATTGTTTAGCGATCATTTCCTTGAGTTCATAGAAGCTTGTAAGGGCAATAAGTCTTCCAGATATTGCAGGCTCGCATGAACTGGATTTTTTCCCCATATTTTCTTGTTATTTGTGCAACAAGGCACCACATATTACGCTATCATTTACCACGAACTCCTCTTACAGAGTGATATTCCCAGGGGAGGGAGATATGGGAAACTCAAATCAGTAGCCCAGTCTGACAGCAGTTGTTGAGAACATGGGAAGCTACGATTTGAAATTGGTACCTGGAGGTGGGTGGGGTGGGCACAGAGGCCATGGGGAGACCGTGTCTTCATCTGAGAATCTGACTGCAAGCAAATAGCACCAGCATTGGGTTAAATTATAGGACACTAAGCTGGGTCATGGAACACCGATGGATTGCTTTGGGTAAAAACTTAAACACTGAGACTGGAGTGATAGCACAGTGAGTAGAGCATTTGCCTTACACACAGCCAACCCGGGTTCGATTCCTAGCATCCCATATGGTCTCCCGAGCACTGCCAGGAGTAATTCCTGAGTGCAAGAGCTAGGAGTAACCCCTGAGCATTGCCAGGAAAGCCAAAAAAAAAAAAAAAAAAAAACTTACACACACTGGGTGACAAGAAATGCCCAAAGCAGTCTCTGTAAAATAAAGGAGACAAAAATAGG